AAACAGTTCAGAGAAGTTGCTTATCATGAATGCAACTATGAGAGCTATAAGTAAGTAAGTATGGTGCTAGCACTTATGCAGTTTTCCATGGCGATGTAAAGGTGACTAGCAGAGTGGAGTTCCTGGGAGAAGCACACTGCAAGCCTGGGATTTATAAGTGACTCGAAGAGACTATAAGTAAAGTGGAGCGGGGTTCTTGAAATGAGTAAAGTAGGCATTACAAAGATCAAATAGGTGCAAGGACAAGGCTGTACTTCCCATGTGACCCTTAATTGCTATCTGAACTGCTCTGTCTCAGGACTTCATAAACAACTGTCAGCACACTTGTACTGTGTTGAGATTACTTGAAACCTCAGTGGGGAAGGAGCTAAAAGTTAATATTTCTGGAAAAGAATCTGAAAGAGGATTATTTTGCATCTTGGTTATTTGTTTCTGATTTATGACTTGGTGTTGGGGAATGTCAGAGTTTTTTCATGTAAACTTGGAAGAGTTGTTAATTGGAATTCTTAACTATCACCTCTTGTGACAGAGACAGTTGACTTACCTATCATGTGATAGTCAGAGGACAAGTTTAAAATTATACACATCAAATGTAAAAATCCTGTAAATCAAATGTGGTGGTAAATACATTTCAATCTCTTAAGAGAATAAGAACAATTGCAAATGGTGGGACTGTATAATGTTTCATTTTAGAAAGCTGAATACTGAGGCACTCTTAAGAAATTGGTACATAGTAACATGTAAATTGCCATATTTTTTTAGAAAAAAAAACGCATATTAGCTGAAATATGTATAAATCATAACTCTTCAAATTATGTGATTTGATACTTTTTAAAGTTATTTAAAAAAATCTAAAAGGCGAATAATTGATTTGCAGCTTGTAATAAGGAAGTTTGAGGATAGGGGTTGACTATATTGGTGAGGGGGCTGGCGATAATGCAAACTTTAGACTTCTAACTTTGCTAAACCGATAATTATCCTATAAAACTACTTAGTGTTTGAATTGGGAACCTGTTTTACTGCCATATTGTGACTTCTTCTGTATTCATGTAAATGCTTATATTTTCACCATGAAAGTTCCTGGAAATCTATCTTGTCCAGTCCTTTGTTCAAAGACTTGCAGGTAAGGCCTGTTCTTGGTGTTGAGCATTTCTCTCCTAGTGTGCCACAGAACATTTCTCACCATGGGTGGTTATCTTTCTCACACACAAAAGCATACAAGATTCCTTCTTGGTATTTCAGTATTGCCAACTCCAAGAACTTGCCTAAAGAGTAGGTCCTCACAAAAGAATGATCTTGTTTTTAAATCATGAGACTTTGAAAAATGTTGGGTTTGATTTATTTGCCTTCTGGGTTTTGAGTCTTTAGGATACAAGTGGGTCACATTTTTAAAGTTTTATTCCTTTTTCTGCTACTGTAAGAGCTAGAAACTTTGTGTGTGTGTGAGCATTGGCATTTTCTGACCACTGAGTTTAGCTTCGTGTTTATTTTCAAGGTTGTCAAACTTACTGATGAGCCATTTGCCTTAAGATGTTATAGTTTTTGACAGGTTTCAGAGTAGCAGCCGTGTTAGTCTGTATCCGCAAAAAGAACAGGAGTACTTGTGGCACCTTAGAGACTAACAAATTTATTAGAGCATAAGCTTTCGTGGACTACAGCCCACTTATGCATCCGAAGAAGTGGGCTGTAGTCCACGAAAGCTTATGCTCTAATAAATTTGTTAGTCTCTAAGGTGCCACAAGTACTCCTGTTCTTTTTGCGGATACAGACTAACACGGCTGCTACTCTGAAACCTGTCA